AGTGAGATGAATACTGATATATATAAAAATACTGGTATATAAAAAAATCTTTGTAGATTATATATAAAACATGAATCATTCAAGGAGGACGAGTTGATTTTTCATCTTTTTGTTTCTTTAAAAGGAATGTATAAATGGTACTTAGATCGTTGATGTCTGTTCTTTTGTTCATCGTTTTATCATTTTCATTAATATGTACCATTTCAAGAAAGAGGCGTTTGTTGAGATGTTTTTCATAATCCAGAATTTTGGCATTATCATAATTCATTATATGATCTTCATCTATAACATGTTCAGCAAGGCTACATGATTTTAAATTTCTTCTACAATCACTTTTATGTGAAGTGATTCTGTCTTTGAACATTCTACAAGTTTGATCAATATAAACTAGATTTCAATCATTGCAGGGAATTTCATAAATAATATTCGATTTATTTTTGACTGGTACAGGAGTTTTCAATTTGGTATGAAGATGAAATATTGTTTTCAAATTTGTTTTAGCGAATTTAATATTTGTTTCATTTTTAAAGAGACTGATTAATTTGGGAGTTAGATCAATTATGTGTGGTGAAGATTGGAATATTGGAATTTGAATATTTCTTGGTAGGGGAACGTCGACATTAAATGAACTGAAAATGATTTTATTAACTAATGATTCTGGATACGAATTTTCGAAACTAAAAGATAAAAAATCAACTCGTCCTCCTTGAATGATTCATGTTTTATATATAATCTACAAACATTTTTTTATATATCAGTATTTTTATATATATATCAGTATTCATCTCACTCTGTATTCAACATCTTCAAATTAGTCAACCATCATCTATAACTTTTCTTTTGTCAAATCATTTTATTTTATTTATACACCTATGTTTCCTTTTTGTGCTAATTTTATATAGAATTTCATGTTTGTAAGTATACCAATTTCAATTGATGTACATTTATATTTTAATATTATTGTTCCATTCGATGTTTTCAGTTAGTCTTGATAAAGAAAATAAAAATTTTCGAAAGCTCGACGACAAATAACGAAGAAATTTGATTGATTCATTGGTCCAGACTGCATTCCACTAATATTTGCAAGAATATTATTATAGAACAGTCACGAAAGCTTCCCCTTGTTATCTATCTATCTATCTATCTATGTACCTAATTGGATGGAACGAAAACATATCCTGGTAATTTGGGATGAGGTGAAATTTCGTATATTGCCAAACATTCAATAGCACTGTTAGTTGTTATTATTATGTAAAAAATTACTAATACGATTCACAAAGTTTACATCGTTTTACGTGGTTTTACTTCAATAACAAGCACTGCACTGTCCAAATTGATGTTTGCGTCAGGAAAACTGATAATTCAAAGTTGCTGTATGGCTTGTTATTTCTGCCAGTGTTCATATGTTTGGCGTCCGTAAACAACATCAAGACTGACTGCTAATATATTTTCAACTGCAAAGCTTCAAAACTTCTCAGAGTTGTTCAATAAATCTAAACAGCATTTCTGAAATTATTGTTCTTCGACAATAAAGTATATTTATCTATCTATTTATCAGTGTTGAATGAAGCCTATCTATCTATCTATCTATGTACCTGATTGGATGGAACAAAAACCTATCCTGGTAATTCGGGATGAGGTGTAATTTCGTATATTGCCAAACATTCAATAGCAATGTTGTTGTTATTATCATGTAAAAAATTACTAATATGATTCACAAAGTTTACATCGTCTTATTTCAATAACAAGCACGGCACTGTCCAAATTGATGTTTGCGTCGGTAAAACTGATAATTTAAAGTTGCTGTATGGCTTGTTATTTCTGCCAGTGTTCATATGTTTGGCGTCCGTAAACAACATCAAGACTGACTGCTAATATATTTTCAACTGCAAAGCTTCAAAACTTCTCAGAGTTGTTCAATAAATCTAAACAGCATTTCTGGTATCTGCCGGTTCTGGGGAAAATGGAAAAACTTATCACTGCTAGAACTCTCCGCCGGATGGATAAACACCATTTGCAAATTAAATTTTGTTTGGAAAGTACACACAAACAGTTTTAAAATATTTCAATAGCAGAAATCACTTTGATGCAATGTATTTTCGAATATCGAAATGGAGGTTTCGTATATGGGGATATATCTATATATATGTTTTTCAATCTTGTTCCAAGATTGGTTCCGAAAGCAATTGGTTAAATTGTTTGGAAAAATAATAATTTCTCCTTAGATTAGATATAGCTGAACAGGGTGATTCATTAAGAATGGGCAATGTCTGAACTACAGATAGTAGACGCCAAAATATGAAGATTTTGTCCAGCATGCCTTATAAAAATGTTGCTACAGGGTGTTCAAGAAGAAAATAATAATTCAAAATGTATCAATTACTCTGATCGAACATTTACTTTGACATTCTGTTTGTTTGTTGTTGGTGTTATTAGTGGTCAAATATCAATTACTGTTTCAGTGGCACTTTTAAAAGTTTATGATTGAAAATAATAAACATTGTATAAGTGGAACAAGATCTTTTCAAGAACGAATAACGCTAAAACCGTTAGAGCTAGACAATTTGAAGAAGAGTACTTTTTTCATGTAAAATTGAACGGGCTTCCAGATTCAACTCATTTGAACCATTATTCAATGGACAAAGAAGATATGATGTAATTTGCTGAAGTAAGTGCCACTTGAGCCGTCTATGAACAATCACGAAATAAGTTTCAAATTCGTATCTCTCATGTCAGAAAACCTTAAATAACTGCATATATATTATGTTTATGCTGTCAAAACTTGAGGAGTTATTGAGGAATTTCAAAATAAAATCTTCCCCTATCTCCAACACTAACTGTATAAGATTAGTGATTTCCCATTCTCAATGAATCGCCCTGTATAGGTACTAATGATTCGTAAATTGTAAGATGTATTCTATTTGAATAAACAGTGAATGAGATCAACATTATACAGTGTGTCCCACTTACCATGCTCACCATGGGTATCTTTTTAACGGTGAGAGATACGAGGTCGGTTAAATGACACCAAATGTGGAGTTTGTCAAGGCCAACTATAATGTGAAAAAATATTTTGATAAAATGTATTCGTTTTTGTTTCATACGCAAAAAACAGATTTTGATCATTTTCATGTCTCCTCCGTAACTTCTTTATTTATGAAAATATTCAATAGAAATTTCACATTCTCATGGCAGTTTTTCAAAGTGATTTCGAAAAAAATATGAAATTCATACCAACTCTTCTAGAATTTGAGATATCAGAACCAACTGTAGTTTTTCAAATGTAGGTCATAGCTCACTATGACTTAGTTACAAATAACTTTTTGTTCTCTTACAGATGATATGTCGCAGTAATAGTTTTGTGTTGATAAGAACGGAGTTATGGTCATTTATACAAAAACAAAAAATTATTTGGAAGCCGCCATCTTGAATTTATAAATTTTAAAAGAAAAATCATGATCTCCGACCTCAAAAACCCCCACTTACCAATTTTGAATGGAATCGGACCAAATCTTGTCCGCCATCTTAAAGCAGCCTTTTTTTTAATTTCAACAAGAATTCCATAATGTATTGTCACCAAAATTGGTAAGTGGGGGTTTTTGAAGTCGGAGATCATGATTTTTTTGTTAAAATTTATAAATTCAAGATGGCGGCTTCCAAATAATTTTTTGTTTTTGTATAAATAACGATAACTCCGTTGTTATCAACACAAAACTATTACTGCGACACATCATCTGTAAGAGAACAAAAAGTTATTTGTAACTAAGTCATAGTGAACTACGACCTATACATGTGAAAAACTAAAGTTGGTGCTGAAATTTCATATTTTTTTCGAAATCACTTTGAAAAACTGCCATGAGAATGTGAAATTCCTATTTGAATATTTTCATAAATAAAGAAGTTACGGAGGAGACATGAAAATGATCAAAATCTGTTTTTTGCGTATAAAACAAAAACGAACAGATTTTATCGTAATATTTTTTCACATTATAGTTGGCCTTGACAAACTCCACATTTGGTGTCATTTAACCGACCTCGTCCTCTCACCGTTAAAAAGATACCCATGGTGAGCATGGTAAGTGGGACACACTGTATACACCTATTATTGATCCAAAAAAATATGTCGATGTTGAATTAATGACTCATTCCAGTCATTTGATGAATTAATGATCTAAAAGATGATAATCAGTTAATTTTCGAGGCATACCTAACATTTATCATTCATGTTCCGATTTGAAACAAGATAATATAAGTTCATGCTTTTCAAAATAATATGTTATCACATACGATCGAACATACGATATGACTGTGATTTCTTTCAATGAAATAAAATTTGTTTCATCTATAGAACGGCTAGGCTCTGGAATTCATTGCCTGAGGAAGTATTCCCAACAACATATAATCTCCAGAAGTTCAAAAAAAATTCCAATACCTACCTCCTATCCCTATCTTCCCTAGGAACGCACGAAGTTCTTTGAACATTATAGGGATTCCCTTTCGTGCGCTCCAAGCGATAAAAAAAATTCAACTTTGAATCATACCTTTTTTCGTGGCGTAATCACCTATTTGAATTGGAAATAAACTACTTTTATATAATATTGAGCTAAAATATGATTATTATTTTATACGATATATCCATTTTTCTTGTCCAGGTGACTAATTCTATATATACTTATTTTACTTTTTGGTGATTTTACACGATTTTATTGAGAAATATACCATTTGACAGTTACCTATTATAAAGATTAACATGATGTGTGAACAAGAGAATTGATATTTAAAATACTAAATAAGTTCCGTGAGAGTGAAAGACTTCTTTCTGAAAATAATTTAAGAATAAGCATGATAAAGAATAAAAGACTGCCCCTCGAAGACTGCTTTTTGGTCCGAACAAATTGAATTTCTTATTTTTTTAGCCTGAAGGCAGAATTCGCTTACACAAATATTAAAAATCGAGTTTCATGGTAGAGAGAATAAGATGTAAAATAAACAGAACTCACCTGGTCATTCATATCGTAACCGTTAGAATGGAAATTCGACTGTGGTATACTCAAAGACAGGTCGACGTTTTCAGATCTCTGGAAAGAAAAGAACAAATAAATTTCGAGTTGGAAAATTGGGATTTGGAAATCATTGTATATCTATGTGGGTGAAATATAACACATATTTAATGCTGCATTTTCTGAGATCTGAGTGAAACCTCATAAAGGTGCTTCTTAATCTGGGAAAATTTATTGGGTGTTCCTGAATCTTATGTTATTATGAGTCCTAGTTTGATTCATTTTTCAAGTCAGAGTTGATGAAGAATAATAAGTTTTAGTCAATTACCAGGCAACCGCTGAACAGAATGGAAAAATATCCCAATAAATTGGTGTGCTCGTGATGGCAAATGAAATAGTGATAACATTCTTCCAAACGGACTTTCAGAGACTTAGGGGAATATAATATATTGTTTGGTTTAACTAAAAAGTAAGCAACGAAGGAAAATTTTCAAATTTCATACGAAACGCCATTCAATTTTGAGCAAAAATGATTGTATCTCGATGAGACGCACCGTTTTCTAGAAAAAAAGGAATAACTATAATTTATTATTTTTATTTATTTATTACAACTTTGGGATACAAACAGGTTCAAAACCCAAAAAAGTATCCGCTGATACAATATTTTACATGACAGCTCGTCTTATAATGAGATGAGTAAATATATGATTGTTAAAGTGTTTGAAATGTTGATATTGGAATTTTAGGTGAGGAATATTTTTTTAACTTTCTGTTTGAAGGTGAATAAAGATATACAGTAAATATCAATACTACAATATTTGTTAAAACTACTACTCAATCTAATAATTGGAGAATTGCTGCCTACATTTGTATTTCGATAATATATAGAGAAAGAAATTGTTGCGAGTGTTCCTAGGAGGAATATGTATAGAGAAAAATGATAATAATGTTAGACAGTCATAGTGATTCCTTAGAACCTTGAACGTGAAGACTAAGTCAGTGATCATTCTTCGTTTTTCAAGTTCCAATATACCAAAGGACTGCCGAACTAGATGAATATTTTCTATGTTGTAGGTTCCATTTATTTTTAAATTCAGAAATCTTACGAATCTATTCTGTACTTTTTCGATCCGTATTTTATATAATTCCAAATTACACTTGCGAAATTTAATTTGCTGTAAACAAATGCAAAGTAAAGAGATTTCAATAATTTCTGAGATTTAAAACTTTCACAAATTCGAGTGAGGAAACCTAACATTTTATTACATTTACTTATTATATAATCGTAATGTTTGTTGAAATTCATTTTGGAATCTAAAATAAGCCCTAGATCTTTGATTTCCTCCACTCTCTTCAATACAGTACCAGACATATTATAACTGAATTCAAAATTCTTGACGTTTTTTGTGAAAGAGATAATGAAACATTTATTTATGTTTAAAAATAATCTATTCTTTTCGCAATATTGTGAGAACCTCAAAAGATCAGAATTTAGTTTTTCACAGTCCTCACGAGACTCGAGAATATATTTTCAGATCGTCTGCGTAGAGTAGGAATTTAGAGTTTACGAAGCACTTTTTCACGTCATTAATGAAGATCAAGAATAGCAGAGGACCTAAGTGTGAGCCTTGTGGCACTCCTGAGGTCACTGTGAAAGCTTCAGCCTGGTAACCATTAATGTTCACAATTTGGGATCTGTTAAAAACGTACGAAGAAAACCACCGTAGAAGATCGCTGTACTCCAACTTCAGAAAGTTTCAGCATCAATATGTTATGATCGATTTTATCGAAAGCTTTACTGAAGTCGTTGTAGATAGAATCCACTTGAACTCGCTTATCCATCTGATTACAAATATATTGAGTGTACGTTATTAAGTTTGTCTCAATTGCACGGTTTGCAAAAAAACATGTTGTTCTTCGATAATTGTACCTTTCAATCGGTTAAACATTATGTCGTACACCAGACTTTCAAAAACTTTTCCCATAATGCAGAGTTTGCTTATACCTCGATAATTTGTAACTTGTTCTCGATCTAAAGAGTTTTTGATAATTGGAATGAGAAATAAATAAAATAAAGTTGGGAAATGACCTTCCTTTAGTGATAAGTTGAACAATTTATTCAACGGAACATATAAACTATTAGCGCATTTCTTTATAAAAAGTGCTGGAATACCATCCGTTCCACTTCCCTTCTTTTCATCGAGATCATTAAGTTTTTTTAAGACTTCTTCTTCGTTTAGGATAAAATTATCAAGTGTGAGATTGCTCTTGCTGCAGATTCCAAATTTTGATGCGTAAATGCTGAGTACTCCATTCCGGCTTCCGTTCAGGTTACTGAATGACAATAATATGTAACATTCTGAAATTTTCGCGATATTTCAGTTACATATGACAGAGTCAATTTTGCCATCACGAAAAGCTATATAGGGTAGGTGAAAAAAGAATCTACGCATCATATATCCAACTTTGACGGCTTTATCTCAGTCAGGAACGAAGTGAATCCAGACATTATAATAATGTTTATAGGAACTTTGACAGGAATGATATGAGATATATGAGTATATTTCAAGATATGTCATTTGGAAAACAACTTATACAGGGTGTTTCATTGGGAAAGGTAAATAATTCAACTGTGGATAGGGGTCACTGAGGTGATTTCAAAGAACCCATGGTTGATGGGTCTTCGACTTCTTATAACCGAGATATGATGTTTCATCAATTTTGTCCATATCTTCATTGTCTCATAACTTTCCAACCAACCTGTATATATTTTTAAAAATTGGTACACTTACTCAATCTACCCTGTGGAATTGATTGAAGCAACAACAAAAGATAAAATCCAGGTCCGGCTTCACTTAAAATTCACAAATTCTTTCTGCCAGAAAACAACACCCTATACATTCGAATTTCTCATTTTTTTTGCCATATCTGAAAAGAACATCAAAATTTCAACGATGTGCTTTTTATTCGTGCACAGACAATTTTAACTATTCATATTATGTGCTCAAAATATTATTTTTGCTCATTTTGGGGTACAAAATTGGAATCAGACGAGATTTATTAATTTTATTACTTCCTATTCAGTATACGTGGGTATTACATTTAGAAGGAGTATTTCATATCGTTCTTTGTTCCAGACTTAGTTGCAGGTCCGTCATCAAAACTATACAGGGCTTTTCACGATAAGCGTTAATTAGATGTTTCTGGCAAACCAGGCAACGGATAAATCTAAAAATTCGAAGGTATGTATAAATTAACACGATCTACACGTCTGAAATATTTGAAACAATTCGGCGTTGCCGCTTCTACTCGAAAGTAGCAGTAACTTTGATTTTTCAAATGGGACACCCTGGATGCTTCCTGAAGAGCTGATTTAATCGATTCACAAAGTTCGGGGTCTAGTGGGACTAATAACTGAGATATCTAAAATGAGAAAAATCGAGATGTTCCAACTTTAGAATTATTTTGCGGAAATATTTATTATTGGTCAAATCGGCTTTTATGTCCCTATCTTAACTTTGTATCTATTGACATTTAATTGCATGAAACAAATACAGGATGGTTCATAATTCAGATTTCTGCACCACCCTGTATCTGTTTCAATTGAATATCGAATGGAAAGTTGTGATAGGGACATTGAAGCCGTTTTGACCAGTTGAAACATCTCGATTTTCCACATCCTATATCTCAGTTATCAGTCCCGCTAGACGTTGAATGTTTTGAATACAGGGTGTCCCATTTGAAAAATCGAAGTTGCTGCTACTTTCTAGTAGAAGCGGCAAGGCCGGATCGTTTCAAATATTTCAGTAGTGTAGATTATGATAATTTATACATACCATCGAAATTTCAGATTTATCCGTTGCCTGGTTTGCCGAAAACGTCAAATTAACGCTCATCGTGAAAAGCCCTGTATAGTTTTGATGACGGACCTGCAACTAAGTCTGGAACAAAGAACGATATGAAATATTCCTTCTAAATGTAATACTCACGTATACTGAATAGGAAGTAATAAAATTAATAAATCTCGTCTGATTCCAATTTTGTACCCCAAAATGAGCAAAAATAATATTTTGAGCACATAATATGAATAGTTAAAATCGTCTGTGCACGAATAAAAATCACATCGTTGAATAGAAATTTTGATGTTCTTTTCAGATATGGCAAAAAAAATGAGAAATTCGAATGTATAGGGTGTTGTTTTCTGGCAGAAAGAATTTGTGAATTATAAGTGAACCCGGACCTGGATTTTATCTTTTGCTGTTGCCTCAATCAATTCCACAGGGTAGATTGAGCAAGTGTACCAATTTTTTAAAATATATACAAGTTGGTTGGAAAGTTATGAGACAATGAATATATGGACAAAATTGATGAAACATCCTGTATCTCGGTTATAAGAAGTCAAAGACCCATTAACCATGGGTTTTTTTAAATCACCCCAGTGACCCCTATCCACAGTTTAATTATTTACCTTTCCCAATGAAACACCCTATAGTATCCACCTTGTGGTGGTCTTTTCAGTGGTTTCCACCATAATTTTAGATTTGCCGGTGAGTGTATTATGTGAAATAATCTATATGGTGGAATAATATTATATCACTATATTAATTTCATCAGCGCATTTCGAATACACGAGAACGCGTTTTATTCTCAATCAAGCTCAATAATCATGACAGATAAATAAATTATCCGCTTGATGCATAACCTGTTATTACAATAAATTATCATCTATCTATACTGTCATAAGGAACCATTTTTCTCGAGTGAAATATACCCACTATTAAGCTAATGAAATTGATAATAAATTATGGTATCTCCGACCGTAAATATCTCAAGGGGGTTTCTTTTCTTTTTCTCTTTATATCTACCATTGCCTCAATTTTTCATCGGCATTGGCTTTGTGCCTTATGCGTCACAGGACTATCACTGGACCTAAGATAAAGTAGATCTCTGTAAGTGCAAGCTAATGGTGCGTCAATGGAAGAGCACATATTGAACGTGTCTAGCGTACAGGGTTGTGATTTTGAACGAAAAAAATGCTGATATTATTTCATCATCCACGTCCTGAACACAAGAAGGTGTTCCAGTTTCAATTCGACAA